TTAAAAAAATATTTACCTAAATAATCTGGAGCTGAGCCATCTAATTGTTACACGGAACCTATTTTTACAGACTGATCAATGCATTTAACTTATTATCTCTTGCTGCTGAATATATAGAGGATATTTCAACACTCGAAGAGAAATTTCGTATCTCCAAGCGGCCATGTAATATCCTCTATATATTCAGCAGCAAGAGATAATAACTGAAATGCAATGATCAGTCTGTAAAATAGTTCCGTATACCAATTAGATGGCTTAGCTCCAGATTATTTACTGTAAATATTTTTTTTCAAGCGGCCATGCAATGTTCTATTTATTATATAAACACCAGTGAATTACAAAACCATTTCTTTCTGTGAAAGGCGCGATTTATTATGTAGCGAGAGCAACGGTGATTTTCACGTGTGAAGATAACATGTTTATATTTTTCACATGTGAAGATATCATGTTTTCGCGCGAACGCTTACCTGGTATTTAAATGGTGGTTATATAATATACTAACTAGGGTATCTAAAAGATAGTAATGCTGCGGCACATTCTGTTGATACTGGCATTAGTTAGGCAGTGAGACTTAAAAGAATCGAAGATGACATTGAATGTCCTATGTACATGTTGGAAAGTACTAGAATAATTACTATCAGTCGATAGAAAGAACTCGTGGGAACGTTGTTTAGAGAATGATCAAGTGGTTATGAACTCTGGTTTTTCCACAGTAAATTGTAGGAAATGAAAGAAATTCAGATTGTTTATCCATATATTTAATAGAAAAGATTGTACGGTGTACTATCTTTTCTCTGAAACACGATACTTTTCTTGATGTTTATTGCACTTTATTAAGTAACAGTTATTTAGCTATATATTTATAGAAAACAACAACACAAAAACGAAAAAAAAAAAAAAAGAAAAAAAAAAAAGAATTTGGTAGGACTCGAACCCGGCACCATCACCTCGACGCGACTACACCTAACCACTACACCACAGAGACTGATTACGTAGATTCATGGATAATAATTATCCATGGTAGATTTGGGAAAAGTCTTTAATTTAATGCCTTTTCCATGAAACTTCCGCCGGCAAGATGATCGCCAGCCGCATTAATCGAGCTATTAACAGTAAAAAACAATGTAAACGCATATTCCATGGCAATGAATGAATGAAAGAACATAATTTTGCTTTTCAAAACGCCAATACACGTCCTCGTCTCCAACGTAGGACACAAAACATATGTTTTGTTATCTCGATTTCCGCTGTTATTTTGAAGTCCAATCCCCAAGTTAACCATCGTACTCATCTGAAACACTCCTGCGTGTCTTAAATTTGGTAAGACCTCTAACCGTGCTGTAAAAATTTGCTACAAAAGAAAACTCTGAGTCTGGGCAGCGAACGATGCGAACTTCCCCGTGTTTTTATTTGAGTTGTTCGTGGCGCAATGCACTCTGGTTAAATGCAATGCATTGTGGTAAAAAGTGTGGTTAAATGCAATGCATTGTGGTAAAAAGTGATGAATTCGAGAATTCGTCGCCCCTTATATATTTCCTTAAATCCTGATTATGTTGCTGCTCGCTCCCTACGGTCGCTCCGCAATAAATTCCATCCTGATATCCATGGAGAGTTGACATAAGCAACTTATGAATCGACACATACTCTCTCAGTTTGAAACTATCAATGATTTTCACCTGCTCAATTTTTTTTTGTATGGACACCTCAACCATTTATGAATTTTAGTCATGAAATTGTAACTATCTGGTAATGTGTATTTATGATAACGTTTTAGTGTTCGAGTGATATTTTGTAACTTTTAAGGCTGGACATTTTGAAAAATTGTTTTTTTAACAAACGCTACAATTGTGAAAACTTTTCGTTTATAGAATCGCATAATTAAGTAAAATCTCGCATTCTGATTGGTTAACGAAGCGAGGTATTTAGTGTGGAATTGCGAGTTGAAAACGAGGCTAAGCGATATTGTTTCGCATCTACGTAACAACTATCGTCAAATTCTAACACAACAACATGCAAAAAAGGTTTTCTACAATGTCATTTTAAAATGTTTTCAAAACCATTCATTGTCACTTTTTGAAGAGTTAAAAACAAACAAAAGCGTTTTTTAAAGTGAGCCGGAGGTTCTTCCTTGTTTTGAACTGAACTACAGATTCTCGAAGAGACATAAAACCTCTTTCACTCGCGACAACCAGAAAACAAGAAAATCCTGTGAACACGGCCCAGAAAATGGCAATCCAAAGTTCAACCAAGCAAAACGGAGAAGCGACAACGGAGGAAGTGCCGGGGTCGATTGTCCCATATACAGAAGAAGAAATAAATACCTTCAAAGACGACATGGCCCCTGAAAACACGAAAAAGAGTACGCCGCTTGCAATCGTCCTGAATCGTGGTACTTAGAAAAGTACAAAACAGAGCTGAACTTGAACAGCATTTCTAAAACATTTCAAGGTACTTACCTTATGTCAATCGCGACGTTAAACATGTTAAACTTTCAGTGCTTTCGCTTGGACACTTGATTTCTTTCAGTTTTGCCGCCGAAGAGGTAAAAGGTGTAAATTATTTTCCTTCTCGAGCAAATGACCAATTTGAAAAAAGACGTTCTACATAAACGGCTTCTAAATTCAGTAAAATACCTCTATTTATCCTTACGATTAGTGTGAAGCTTGTTTACATGTAAAAAAGTTTGAAAACAAATGTGAAACCAAGCACAAGGTACAAAAAAAGTTGTCGAAGGTTCAATCGTGTACGACTGACCTTGCTTCCTATTCGCTAACGCAATGACAGTTCTGACAGTTGACTTTGAAATGGCTTTCTGGAGCGCGCGCTCAGGATAAAAACAAACAATATTATTGCTGTTTTCTTTTTTTTTCTTCTTATTTTTATTCAATTATGCGATTCAAGGAAAATTCATTACCTGACTCGAGAATTCCACGTTAAATTGCACTTGAAAACCAATATCGCACTCATCGCTTCGCGATTCGTGCGATATCGGTTTTCGCGTGCAATTTAACGTGGAATTCCCTCGTCAGGTAATGAATTTTCCTATAGAATATTACGTTAAGAGCAGCATTACATCAGAATATAGCTTAATTCCTTTCAGCTGCGAAATTAGACAGTGTGCATTTAGGAAAGTCTAATACAAACTTTATTTGAGAGTGACCGTCTATCAAATCATTTACGCTATCTTTGCTTTTGACAGAACACGTCACTGACAACGCACAAGTCAATCGAGCTCAAATTTATTAATAAATTTAGCGTGCTATTATTAACAATTACTATATTAGGGTTCCTTGCAAATTCTACCTAAGAAAACGCTCCTGTCAGACACACACCCTGTTGATGAAAAAGGCGCTATGAGATTGCAGAGGTGGCCAGATAAAATAATTTGCTCACTCATATTCTGCTTCATCTTTGCAGCAGTTTTGGCGGCCAAAGAAGAATCTAGATCTTCCTACATAGTAGCCCAAGAGAACAAACGTTTACATGGCTATGCTGTAAAGAAAATCGATTCTACGGATGAAATGGCATGCAGTCAAGCTTGTTTAAGGCATTGTTTGTGTACTTCTTCTAACTTTAAAGAGTCCTCAGGCAATTGTGAACTGAACAAGCACGAGTTTTCAATAACTGCAGATGATGACACCAAGCTCACTGATAATACGGGCACAACGTTTTCAATGTTTCTTAAGGTGAGTCGAAGAGAAGTTTGTCAACAACGTACGCGATGTAATTAAGAACTGCGTTGAACTAAATTTTTAACTAATATACATCTGTTCTGTTGCAAAAAACAGTAAAGTTGAGTCTTGTTAGGATGCATTTATGAAAAATGGCATCCAAAGCGGGGATATGTCTTGTATTGTAATTGGAGTCAGCCATGTTCACTGCCTTTTGCTACCAGTTTCAATCCGCCGGACAATTTTTTAATGTTATTGACGGCTATGTATTCTTGCCTTCAGTTGGTTTACTTGTTATTAAATTACAGTTAAGAAAAATGTGCAGTGCAATTAAAAAATACAAGGAGAGTTCGTCGAGTCTGTATGTGTAATTTATGGAAATTCTATTTTGGTTTCTAAGTTCAAAGTATATATTGTACAGATATGATTTGCACTGCGCCTCGAAAAGTATCCTGAGAGATCAGTACGCACTGCAAGGATGACATGAATTTGAACGTTTTTGCCCTAAAACATTTGCTAGTGCAAAAAGCTGCAGGAAGTCGATGGAAAACAACTTTTGCTTACCCATGTAAAATGTGATTTTCTGCAGGGTTGTCTGATGGCTGGATGCCTCAATGGAGGTTCTTGTTTGTTCGACAAAAAAAACAGAAGCTTTCGCTTGCTCGTGCAATCTGCAATGGAGTGGGGGAAAATGTGAACTAGGTAAATTTTTAGTTTTTTTTTGTCCCTTATAATAAATATAGAATAATGAAAGAGGTGTATTCTGTGCTAGCACCTGGTATCCCGAATTCCATGCAGGGAAACTCTAGGCCTCTGCTAACAGGGAAAGATGTGTACTGTTTGAAGCAAAATCACATTCACGTATTTGTCTGTATCTAGCAAATGTACTTTTCAGTGGTACAAAGAAAGTTAAACTGTTGACAGATTGCCAATTTAATGAACCTTCTACTCCGTGAAACTGGTATGTAGCATTAAGAGTTTACTTTTAATATTTTCTTAGCCTCAAATGTGGATCGTCCTGGAATCAGGTTCTTTAGTAGGAAGAAAAAAGCGAATAATGGTGTAAACAGCCTGCTATTCGCCCCTTTTCTCCTCTAGGAAGCCTGATCTAAGCTAAGTCTGGAACTTCCATGTTTTTCTTGTGATTTTACGCTTTATTTCTCATGAAGTATAGGCTCCTGAAGGGTATATATGTCCAATGCATGGCTGTGGCCATTTTTAATTTTGGGTTCGCCATCTTGTGTTCCGGCCATTAGGCTCTAAAGCAAAAGCTTTCAGCCGACCTTGCATTTTTGGCGATTTTCTCCATTTGATGGATCTGTTTTTGTAGACATTGATGAATGCGCAAAAAATACCCACTATTGCGGTGCCAATGCTTACTGCAATAATACCAAGGGAGGATACAACTGCACTTGTCATCCGGGATATTACGGAGATGGAAAGAATTGTGAACCAGGTGAGATGGCAGACTTTGTATCAACTTGGAAGATTTTTGAAATGCTATATAAGAAGACAATACCGTTTAATCTGTGCGAAAAGTAGACAAGTTTATTTGGCCATTATTCTATGATGTTCAAACGTATTTTTATATAATAGTATGAACCCACATCTAACTGAAGACAGTAGGTCTTCTTTTCAAACAGAAAATGGTTGGGAAGGAATTTTTAATATTAAAGGTATCTTTCTAAAAGTATCATGCTGAAAGTAAAAATAAAAAAGTTCACAAACCATACGAGAATAAATTTTGAGACTTTCAGACCTCAGGTACTCACTGGACATGTTATAACGGACATACTTGTGGGCAAAATTCCAGACATCTCAACTGCCTTTGTAACGAGGGCTTTATTGGAGCATCTTGCCAAATAGTTAACAAAACAAGCGTTAACTAAAACTGAAAAAAGTGCCCTTGTTTTAGCTTGAATATAGGACAATAACACTAGCAGGACTACTACTGAATTTGATCATTTTTTTTCAGCGATCAAGTCATATCAAGACTGTCATCAAGAGAACCCAGACGAGAAGGTTACTTCTATTTTTCATAAAGGCCTTTTTTTCATTCGAGTTGGTTTTAAACGACACCAACGCTTTAGTACCAGACAAGGTTGTGAAACTGTTTTTTTTTTTTTTTTTATGAAAATAGTGAAAACCTGCATGTTTTGACACCCTTAGGGAATGCTCTAGTGTCCTCCTAATACAGGTTTCACTGCAGCTGTTAACCAAAACGTGTCTTCTTTGTCTAGGAAAACACAGATGAATACAATTATCTTTGACTCAAAGCCAATATCCGTTCTCTGTCACATAGGAGATTTTGGATGTGGGGATGGAGGATGGACACCGGTCATAAAGATGGACGGCAACAAGGTACGAAGTAGCCCGTGTCAGGCTCTTAGATGGTAGGGACATCAGAGCCTCTGTATGGGTGTTTCCAACGACATCGAACGCGAATATCGCCATTGGTTGGGCTGAGCTTGCTAGTAGCGCTACCACACAAAAAAATGCTCAATATGCGACGATTTCGTACTCGCCTGAAAAAACGACGATTTGATGGAAAATGCGGGACAAAATCGACGGCTGCAGGCACCCATGCAGAGGCTCACATCACCAAAATAGAACAGGCCAAGCGTTCTTATTCTGCGTTCAGTTCAGTTCAGTTTAGTTCATTTTTATTTAGCCAAAATATAATACAATACAGGAATATACATAGAGATTGTAAGTTGACAAGGGAACACAGAAGAAACCAGAACGCTTATGAAGCCTGGGCTCCCCAGTCACAAAGAAAAATGTATAACGAAATTCGCTGAGTGATAGGTTAAAAATAGGAAGTAGACAGAAACCGAGTTAAGTTATGAATTTAGTAACAAGATATAGAAAAACGTTCTTAACTCTGGATTGGTAGGAATATAAGGAGGGGGCATCGCGAATGTAATGTTGTACACATCAGTAAGTACTTGTTTCTCTCACAGCAAACTTTTGAATACAATTCCTCTCTCTGGAGCAACAAAGAAACCTTTAACCTTGACGGAGGGAAGACTGGGTTTGACTCACAGGAGACCAAACTTCCCTCCTACTGGAACACATCCTTGTCCAAGATCTGCCTTGGTATGAAGATCAATGACAACCAGTCCAAGTTTATTGTTATCAACCAGCAGGCCAACTCCTTGTCCTCTCTGATCGCTGATGGGCAATACCGCAACACCTCACTGGGTCGTGACACCTGGAAGTCGCTGATTGGTTCTGAGGCTTCCTTGCAGTACAACTGTAACAAGGAAGGGTTCAATGCTGTTAGTAGTGGTATTCGCGGTTCCAAAGCAAGAATCGGTATCATTAGTAACGACCGCTACAATTGCGCATCTTGCGACTCTAGAATTGGATTTGGCACTGGTGGAAAGCCTGATAATAGCAACTCATGTGGAAACGAGGCTTCACATAATTCAGATAATGGGAATAAGCATATTAAGAGAATGGGATACATTTTGGTGCAGTGACAGGAAACTGGTCTGGGCTAATTTACTTTTGGCGCCAAACGAAAGCTATCTTAAGGGGCCGGTCGTTTATAACCTGAGGGAGAAGTGGGTGGGGGGTTAAGGCCATTTTACTGGATGTTCATTTTCAAACACTTGATTTTTAGGGGTTTATTTTCAGATTAGAAAGCTTTTATTATATTTCATGGAAGTAGTGAAAAGGCAGTAAGGAGCGTGAATTAAAACTGAATGTACAAGCCGTGAATACTGTAGAAACTCCGACCTTATAAATACGACTGTAGATAAATTATGTGCAGGTGACAGAACGTCAACACGATTTGCAGCCAAAATCAGTGATTCGTAATTTCCACAGCAATCGGGTTCATCGGGTTAAGAGAGGGAGTCACTTTCACGATATGTAAAATTTATGAGGGATCATTTCTAAAACGCTGAGATCCAGGAAGGGTTCGGTTTGAAAAATCTTCTTAGCCTTCTCATACTCCTCAAAATGGCCGCTCCCCCCACCTCACAGGTAATAAACGACCAGCCCTTGATTTAACTCGAGATCCTGTTCATTTTTTTTTTGTAGATAAACACATGGTAAACAATAATAGGTTATTTCTAGATTGGATTAAAGTAACCATTATGCATACGAAATAAGAGGTACACTGGAAAACCAAGATAAAACCAATTTTCTCCATTGCTCCTCATAGTTTATGCGCACAACATTTCTTGTTGGGATTGTATGTCACTAAGTGGACTGGAAAAGTTTTTAGACAGGGATAGCCTTTCTCAAATTGCAAGAGAGTCTCTTGCAAATTGTGATCAATCGTGGTTCCAGAGGAGGCTGAATCGAGGTTGCACCACGCAGTGAGGTAAAAATTAGACAGGTAACTTTACGGTTGATACGGTTGCTGCACGGATGCGTAGACAATCTGCGAAGAACACGTTTGATGTGTGAGGTGATAAGCTGTGATAAGAGAGGGAAAGACAGACTTCACATCAGTGAAACATTTCCGACATTTTTTTTTTGAACAGGAATATGGGTTGTTGTTATTGTTGTTTTTGGAGAGAGAAGGATGAATGGCGCCAGCCAGGAGCCCTGCGCCAGCTCATGGACACCACCGAAAAAAGGGCGATTAATTGAACTGAGACAAGATTATTTACAGCAAGCATTAACTTACCATTTTTTTTAAGAGCCTGGGTTAGTGTTAGCCTAGTCCCTAGGAGTTCTCTCTTGATCCGTTGTTTTCGCGAAGTCTCGGTGACGTCACAGCTTATGGTAGAGTCCAGGAATGACCGAGCCGAAAACGCCTGGGGACTAGGCTGGGTTAGTGTTTTGTCCTGGATTTAAACTGGTCCTCGAGCTCAGCAAGTCTGAGCCCGTAAACAAGCCGAGCAGTGGTTACAGGCATGCACACCAATGAGATGACTTTTTTGGTTCAAAACAAACGGTAAGGACACAGACATGCGTGCTGGGATGTTAAAAAAATAACAGGGACAGTGCTATTTCAGGTAAATTCTGAAGATGAATCTGACGATGTCTACCACGGCACAGGTTGTCGAAACGTCAGTCATTGTCAACAACGGTACTACGATCACCCGGACGATCATTCTCAACCTACTTTTGAAAAACTTTTGAGACTCGATTTTGAAATGACTCCTGGGTTCAAACCGAGCCTCCATTTCCAGTCGCTGTTCTAAAAACGAGCCAAAGCTCCTCCACCGGAGACATAATTAAAACTGCAGCTTTTTGTTCTTCATTATTTGGCGCGGGATTCTCCTTTTTAATGTTTTCCTGTCAGTAATAATGCCTGAGTAACTGAGACAGCTTATACACCAGCTAGATTAGTTTTGCATGATTATCTTCCCTCGCTACTGTGCAAGTCGCTATTTATTTTTCAACCATCTTTTGTCCTTAGCGCAGCAACCTTAGCTTGTGACACAGCAAGCGGAATTGATCAGTGCCTTGTATTCAGGGACCGCGGAGACCATTTTAAAGTGGTGGGGCTATAAAATCTGGCCAATACAAAGAAACATTAAGTTCAGTGTTTCGCCATTTAGTAAAATCCAACTAGTGGTCTATTATCAGTGCTGCGTTCTGATTGGTTGAGCTACTACTAGGCTATATGTTATAGCCCACTAGTAGCGAAAAGCGCCGTCGTTGGAAACCAAAACAGTGGTGGCTTAATCATGATTTGCTAGCTAAAGTTGTTTTGTCTCGATAGTTATGACCAACTAGTTACGTTTAATTTATGTTTCTTTTTTTTGCGCAATTGACTCAGAGCCCATTCGGGCTCGAGGAATAGTTGCATTTTTATCTCGCATTTGCACGCCATCTTATTTACAACCTCAACGAATATAAAATCAGATCAGCTGTAACATAAACGTCGTCACATGTTATAGTATCCAGTATAGCCAATATGTTCAATAAACCTTCCTAAGATTGCTACTTTTTGAAGTTGCCAGGCCCGCAGGGCCAAAAGTTTCTATTGCGGTTCTCATGATCATACGGGAAACAAACCCCTGTGCGACGTCAGCTGTGGTGGCACTGCTGTTCTCCGCTTGTGACCCGACACTGCTAGGTTGCTAAATCTTTCATCACCCATCCTGGGCCGAAGCCACGTCTTCAGACGCCGTGCAGATAAGGATGAACCCTCGCCAGCGGCGATGGTAGCGGGATTTACAGCAAGCAGCCTACACTAACAGATAGTTTGGACCTCCTGATTTAGCTTCTTTTCTCGTTCTGGAAACTTTTAACACCGCCGACAGGATTTAGTCAAAACATGATATCTTCTCCTCCTTCTCCTCCTTCTTCTCCTCCTCAGCCATCTTAGTACCCTCAGATCCTTAAATAGATTATCGGTGTGGGAATAAAGCCGCTCTCCAAGATGCAAAGTCAAATCGCACCATTTGGGCCTTACTTCTTATTATCCTTGCACGCACTTCGGATTGTAATCATTCGGACAAGCAAACATTCCACTCTTCAATATGGAAAAGTCCACTTAGTGAATAATTTCACGGGAATTTTTTCCATGTCACCATTCACTGCAGCACTAGAAAATAAATCCCAGCAATAAAAGTGATAGGGCTATATAGCCCTACCAGCCCCTCCCCCTCCGCGGTCCCTGGTATTCTATGCATTATTACTACAAACAAACAGTCGAATGATTCCAAAAGGACCCTAAAGTCTGAGAACAAATATCTTAGGACTGAAAAAAGCATTTCCCGTTGATACATAAAGATCGAATTTGATTCGCAAAATAATATTTTAGTTGACAAATTTCTAGAGCGATTTTGCTTTGGAAGTATATCACTTGTGAAGAAGGCGGTTGTGATTCTGGTACCTTTCTGCCACCTAAAATGTTTTTATTTTTTTACATTCTATTGCTGCCTTATTTTTTCATTTAAGTTCTCTAACTGTAACTGAAATAATTAGATCTCAAAGAGCTGCAACTCTGAAGGTGACGAAACAGCAGCACTGTATGAAAAGAGAATTAAGACAGGTGCAAAACATCAATTGACTATCAAATGCAAACCCGATGGGAGGAGAAAGCATTGCACGGGAGGTAATATTACCCAGTTACCTATAAACGGTTTGATCAATGAACTGATGAACTCCTATAATTACTTTATCAATATACAATTCATAAAATACATTTCAGCTTGTTTTGATGTTCGTGACAAATTATTATGAAAGTAACATAATTGCCCTGTGTTGTAATTTTGATTCCTAAAAATAGTTTTTGCAATACTGTATGTGTTTGTATGGTCATGCAAATAAAGCTTGTTGTTGTTGTTGTTGAAGGTACCCTTGACGGAAACCACCCTGACATGGTCGTCAAAAACAATCGGTATAAGAAATGTACTCTCATTGATGTGGCTATACCCTCTGATAAAAATACCTGCACCAAGGTTTCCGAAAAACTTTCCAAGTATAGAGATCTGGAAATCGAAATTACCAGAACGTGGGAGATGAAGACAGAAATAATTCCAGTGGTTGTAGGTTCGTTAGGGGTGATTAAGAAATGCTCGGAGAAGTTTGTCAGAGAAATTCAAAAGACAACATTACCGGGAACGGCACATATTCTACGGAAGGTCCTATCCATCAAGTGACAGTGATGACAAAGAAACCCTCAAGTTCTCCGGGTTCAAGGTTTAAGGACTTGGGCCTTATGAACTGAACACTTATAATAATAATAATAATAATAATAATAATAATAATAATAATAATAATAATAATAATAATAATAATAATAATAATAATAATAATAATAATTAAATCCCGTGTGTGTTACAACAGAAGGAAAGGTGGTAACTGCAGCAAGAGCTGGGAATCTGTTGAAGCAATCTCCAGAGAAGCAGTTCTTGGAGATCGCTAAAGACAAAAAGTGGCAAGGAAAGTTATTCCGTATCAGATGGGAAGATGAGAGCCTAAGCATAACCAGCTGCTTTGCATGGTTAAAAGGTTGGGCTACATGCCCTACACATACCATCGCGGGTATGTATGAATTGTATGAGCAGTTGTTACCTACGAAGCTCTACACAAAGGAGAGGACGCAAAACCTCCACCGACGGCGAAGTTCTATGCAGATTATGTGGGAAGGTAGCTGAGAGCGTTGCACATGTACTGGCTGGATGTTCCTCCCTGGCACAAACCAAGTACCTATACAGGCATAATGCAGCTTTGAAGATTCTGTTTTTTGAGCTCCTGCGAGAGCATGGGTTAATGGAAGAGGTTCCACCATGGTACTCACCTGTGATGCCAAAACCAGCCTACCAGAACACCACGAACAGAACACCAAGTTAGAGCAAATCGGATCGACGCGCGACTTGTCAACCACGAGAGGAAAGAAGTCTGCACAATCCAAATGAGCTGCCCATGGATTGAGAGTAGAGCTAAGAAAGATGAGGAAAAGACACTCAAGTATGGGCCCATGATGTGGGAGCTGAAGCAGAGATACAATGGTTACAGGGTTGAACAGTACAACGTAATAATTGACGTACTGGGGGGTTACTCTAAA